TCAAAAGACGTGAAGGGATTGAAAAAGATATCTCACAAGGTTGGATAATTTCAAAGAAGGTTGAGGCAGCTTTGCAAAAAAATGATGAATTAGCCGGCACTTATCGTGTGAGGATATATGATAGTGAGCTGTTATTGTTTGAGGTTGAGGATGCCTACAATCAATCTACACACGAGGTTGGTGACACCATGAGAGTGGACTTAATCAATCGTACATGTCAGTGTGGTAGGTTTACAGCAAGGAGGTATCCCTGCAGTCATGTATTAGCAGTTTGCAAGGTAGCCAAGTTAAACCATTATGATTATGTGGATCATATTTTCAAAATCCCAACCATTGCTAAAGTATATGCTGCACACTGGTTTCCTATTGGCAATGAATTGTTGATTCCATTCGTTGTTGGGCCTACTGTAATTCCGGATGCCCGGTTGGTATGTGCAAAAGGAAGACCAAAGTCTTCAAGGATTCAGAATGAGATGGATTGGGTTGAGTCTCAACCCTCGAGCAGTCAGAGCAGATGTAAGCATTGCAAGCAAGTTGGACATAACATTCGTACATGTCCAGTGAGGCTAAGACAAGCCTGATTATGTATTGTTTCTATGTAGTACTTTGTTTTGTAATGACATACATTTTTCGTATTGTGTTTTGTATTGTTTAGGGTACCCTAAACCCTATATTGTATTAGTTATGTATTGTGTTGCATAACATACATTGTTGACGACCGTTATGTTAAGCATTCAACTCGTTTCGTATTACACAAGCCGAATGTATACCATACCCATTTACCCCCTCCCCGAGTCAGTTAAGGTTATGGTATTAGACAACAATCAAAAAATTACACAAAAAGTAGGTGGAGCAGCTGCTGTTGCTGCTGAACCAACCGGTCTACCCGGTAACTCGTAATTATATACCCGGGTACACCATACTCGGGTACACCAGTTCGCGTTACCCGGGTAGACCAGTTGGTTCAGCAGCAACAGCAGCTGCTCTACCCACTTTTTGTGTAATTTTTTGATTGTTATGTAAAGACAACATATAATATGATTTGGGGGTGGCTTGATTTCGTTGATATGGGATGCCTGAAACATTATGTGCGATAATCTTAATCCCAATTACATTTGACAAAAAAAACTATTTAAAAAACACATATTGTGTTGCATAGAACCAACAATTCTGAATGTGCGAAATAGACAAATTGAGATTCATTCAAACATTGAACATGTTCCTAATTGTACCAAAATACATGGATAACATCCAACATGCAATGTAGGTAATGTTCCTAATTGTACCAAAAATACATGCATAACATCCAAAATGGGCTGCCTAAACCCTATCTTAACCCAATACACCCTAATAACCCAAAATACATCCACTAAAATAAAACCCTCATGTGAAATCCTATAGAGTGGAATCCGATTGCGTGTCCTCCCCATTCTCATCATCCTCCTCCACATCATCATCAGAAGCAACAGCAGCATCAGCCTCCTAATGAGTGTGGGCACCCCTGCTGTAGGCAGCCTCCATGCGTGTCACCCTTGTGTCAATCTATGTAACCCTTGTGTCAATATGTGTAACCCTTGTGTCAATCTGGTTCCCCCACTTGCTTGAGCTCTGTCTATATCCTCTAAAATCAGTAGTCAATGAGTCAAGGCCACATGTCAGACTATACATGGATGCCATGACATGATCAAGTGTCCAACCACTCTCAGGAGCTGTCCATCCACCCCCAAGAGATGGAGGAGTTGGTGGTCGCCGACTGCGGGTGGGACGTGTCCGTCCCTCATCAGCAGCAGCAGCGCCATCATCATCGTCATCGTCACCAAGGCCTGCATCATAAGTCATGAAAAACACATATTATAGTTAAGAACAGAAAAAAGAAACCAACAATAATGCATAAACCCTAAAGCCAAAACACATCACCTGCAGGTGCATCCTCCATCTCAGCATCGTCGTGGACTGAGATCTCAGGTGGTTCTGGTGCCTTCTTCCAGTACCAGATACCCGCTCTGTTCGGCAGGATCCCACACTGCTTCAGGAGCCTCTCACCAAATATAGCATTCCAGCCTCTGGCGGTCTTCAAGGTCTCTGTTGCCATAGGCACACCAAATCTGTGCAGAATCTTCTGCACTAGGAATGCAAAAGGCAATTCAGCCCTCTTTGACTTGGCAGCCTTCCACATCAGTATGCATATATAATGCCTCCAGTTCACCTGTCAACGGTGAATGAGGGCCCATAAGATGACAAAGTCTCCTTCCAGCACCTTCGAGTGATTATGCGGGCGTTGGAAAATAGTATGTGTCACCACGTAATGAAGAATGCGAGCAGACACCGACAAGTTGCTCACAGGATAATGAGCAAAATGTTCGACCCCAGCGTCTGCCCTCCTAGTCTCTGTAACAATGGCCTCCCGATCATAATCACCAAATATATGATGGCTGTCTCCATCATATAGTGCTGCTCCTGTGACACTATCAAAATCGAACCCCAGTAGCTCTGTCCAGATAGGAGCAGTCATGATGATATCAATCCCGCAGACACGGGAAGTCAGCTCGCCATGCGCATAGCCAAGGCTCTGGTAGAAGGCTCTCACCATAACCTCCGAGTATGGGCACTGCATCTCCGCAAGGACAAGTAAATGTGTCTCCTCAAGAAGCGACACAATGTCAAAACGCTTCAAGTTGAAGAAGGCCGAATCCAATTATTTCGGCTCGCAAATCCTCCGGCTCATGAAAGACTTCACAAACCTCTCGTGAGAAACTATGTCATCCTCAAACAAATATCCGAACGTCAAGTCCGGAGACTGACTCACAGCAGCCTGGGGCTGAGAGGAAGACGACCCATCGTGTCGACTCTTGGTTCTTCTCTCGGTATTCCCCGCCGGCAGCTTTGAAACACGTCTAGAACTCATTGCGTCACACTATTAAACTGAAAAAAAACCAAAATCAGAAACATACAAGTTAGGGTTAGGGTTAGGGTTAGGGCTAGGGCTAGGGCTAGGGTTAGTACTTTCAAAAATTAATCGGTCAAAATCATATAACATAACCATGCAAAGTACAAAAACGCAATAATTTCAAATGAGGGAGGGACAAACATATCAAAATCAGAACATATTTGATAACCATGAAAAAAAAAGAACCTTGGCTGCAGATTCAATCGGTTGAAGGCAGAGATTCACACGTGCGCAAACTGATGATCACAAAAACAAAGAATTTGAGCAAGATTTGGTGTGAGAATCGCGCAACCAACACACCTCCAGCAGCTCTACTCGGGTACCCCTTTGTTGGGTTTCGAAATGGGGCTGCTGGGTTATATAAAAACCCTACCGTCGCGATTTACCCGGGTACACTCCTCCTTACCCGGGTAAATAATTCAAGCAATTTCCCAGAACTCAAGAACTATACCCGAGTACACCCCTCCCTACCCGGGTATGCATAAAAATTCAAAAAATACCCGGGTAGGTTTCGTGGTCAACGGTCAAACAGGAGCAGATTGGTGTTAAGTTTGTTGGGGAGGTTAAATTTTTTAAATAGTTTTAGATAAAGATTAATTTGATAATTAATAATTAATAAAGGGCTATAAGGGTCAAAAAGCCGAGTTTCATGTCACACTAATATTGTTTAAAGGTTGTAAAGTTTAACCAAAAGTGACAATTCAAAAGGAGTGTACTATTGCATTTTAGAATACAGTCATAATTCAAAAAGTCAACCCATTCCTTGCTCCATTTTTTCATGCATCTTTCGGTCTTTGAGAGATTCATCTTTGAAACCTTCCCTTGATATTTGAATACGTAAGAACAAAGCTTACGGCAAAAATAACACTTGAGATACCGTGTTTCTATTTTCAACTATAAACTTTTCCAAATGCTAGTGTTTACTTTCTCGAAGCAATGCAATACTATTGAATACGTTTTGTTAATGTTAGAAAAATAATTGTGCCAGACAATTTCATTTATTGATATTGCGGACAAAAGAGAAGTGGGATGTGAAATCAAACATAAATATTCTTTTTTATGTTTAATATTTATTTTTAAGATATAAAAGTAGACATAAATTTAAAAAATTTAATTTTTTTTAATAAAATTAAAGAAAACAAAACAAAACATGTTATTCTATTCCGTTTCGTTTGCTTGTCAAATTTTATCTTTCACATTTCCTTTTAATACTCTTTTTATTATTAAGTAAAATTTTATTTTAATATTATTAGATAATTTGAACTCACTGTATTAATAAAATTCACATAAATTTTTATTTAATACAAATATATCTTCCTAGTACATTTTATTGTCAATCAATGATCGTTCGTGAAAATTGAGATGTCTGTGCACAAAAATATATCTGTGTAGACAGCATTTTTTGTAGTAACCGTGGATTTTATGTCTAAATTGAGTTAAGAATAATAAGATAAACAAGTTTCCTACACACATAAAGTGAAGATGGGTTCCATATTTATTTTTTCTCTCTCCTTGTACATGTGAGTTTCAGTTGTAATTTTATTTATATAATATATAATATGAGATGAGGAAGGATATTGTGATAATCAAGTTGTGTTACTATCAAGTGACTACCAATTAATCTCATTGTTAGATCGATTATGTTGATCCAACGGTTATATTTATTTTCATCTTTGTATGATTATGATTTTCCATATTTAAAGTGAAAGCATTAAATATGAGAAATCATAACCATACAAAGGTGGAAATAAATATAAAGTATTAAATTTGGGAACCATGACCATACAAAGATGGAAATAAATATAACCGTTGGATCAACATAATCGATCTAACGATGAGATTAATTAGTAGTCACTTGATAGTAACACAACTTAGTTGTCACAATATCCTTCCCCGTATGAGATAACCATTTTTATACAACATAATATAAATATAAACTCAAGAATAATGTATTTAATTTATAATTTTCACCTAAGTCATACAAAAGATGAAAAGAAGCTAATTATATTATTATTATTATTATTATCAAAAATTAAATCTCGGTTTGGTTGATTCAAGTTCAGATCTGAAGGATGGCTGCAATGTTTTGATCTCATCGGAAAAGGAAAAAGGCGAAAGTGAAGAATCGAATTGTTCCATTTCGATAATAATACACACGCACACACACGATGATGCGCATTCCGTGAACCTTCTCATATTTTCGATTCGATGGCGTCCTCCAGCACCGGCAAGAAGTACCAAGCTGATGCTACTGAAGACGAACTCACCGAAGAAGAAGGAGTTGAAGAAGAAGAAGAAGAAGGAGTATGCTTCCAACGCTAAAAAATAAATAAAAAAATTCGAATCACAATTAATTTTGGTTCGTTAATTTATAACTGATTTTGAGATGTACTTATTTGTTTCCATGTTGATGCAGCTTGAGCATTTTGATGATTTCACCCTTGCTTCTTCATGGGAACGGTATGTGTGTTTCTAATTCTCGTTGTTGTCCTATTTATATGCATTGAAAGAAGTTGCAACTAATTTAATTTAATTTTTGTTGTTTGTTGATCGTGTTTTTGTAGGTTTATTTCAGAAATAGAGGCAGTTTGTCGTCTTTGGATGTCTGATGGTCCAAATAATTTATTGGTAAGCATTGAAAGTTGCAGAGTTTGGTATAAATGGAATGCTGCTGGTGTCAAATCTTAGGGTCTGTTTGGTTGTGTTCTGGTTTTTTTGTTCTTAAAATTGTTTTGTAAAATAGTTATGGAAACAGTTGTTTTCTATATGTTTTTCTTTTTGAAAGTTAAAATCTAAAACAGAAAACAAAAACAACTCAGACAAACAACTCAGACATGTTTTCTAAATTTGATTTTAAAAACAAAAAAACAGTTATAGTTTTCAACACATTTTTTACAAAATAGGTCTTACCAAACGAGTTTTTTAGTTTTTTTGTTCTGAAAACTAAAAAACTGTTTTGCAAAACAGAAATCAAACAGAGCCTTAGTCTACATGCTTGTTTCTGATATAGTTTCTTCAATGTTGGCTTTGCTAGTGTTTTAAGTGTGATATGGTATTGGTGGAATGAGCAGTGTGTGTATGTGTTGTCTTCGAAGTTACATTTTTCCCCTGTTGAAAAATGATAATCTTACTCCGTTTTCATTTTGGACCTGAATGAACATCCACTTTCTTCTTTTTCTTTTTTTCCTAGAAAAAAGGTGCAGTTATTTTGGAGAATTCCAGTAATTTGTACAAGGTGAAATCTGAAATGAAGTATGCATTGAAAAGTTACTGCATGGAGTACTATTTTGAGAACAACCCTGATGGTAATTTTTGTTTTTCTTGTCGGGTAGAAAATGTTTAGTAGGTTGAGGTTGGGGCTCAGAATATTGTTGTTGTTTAATCTATCTCGGCATACAGCTCATGCAGGAAAACCTGTGGACTGGAATTCTAATTTGCATGATATGCAGCTATGTTTTGGTGTAAAGGAATTTCTGGTATGGTTTAATGTTGCATCTTGCTTCTCACTGGAATTTGAATGGTTTCACTAAGGATAAGAAAACACTTGTTGTCATGTATATATATCACCAGGTAATTGCTCCTCAGAGTGCAAGTGGTGTGGTTCTTGATGCGCCAGAGGCTAGCAAGCTCTTGAGTGCTGTTGCAATTGCTTTGTCAAATTGTTCAAGGTAACTATTGTTCCTTGTTCTGTAACGCTTAGTTATTTGTGGAAATTTACAATAAATTATGTGCATTGTCGCATTTATATCACATTTTTATGTCTGATTCTAAATAATAACTAGATGCTGCTTGTTTACTTTAACATTTGGGTTTATGTCGTACTTCTTGTTTTTAGTGGAGAAATTTCTGTGTTATTTGATAAAAATGCTATGGTTACAGATTTTTTTTTTTTTTTTTTTTTTTGATAACAATGGTTACAGATTTTTAAATAAAGAGATTGTTGAAATATCCAGTTTGGTGAAGTTTAGGTAACTAAAGATGGAAACATTGTTTCTCATAACATTGGCTTTGTAGTTTATGGCCAGCATTTGTTCCAGTTCATGATCCTTCTCGGAAAGCTTACATTGGAATTCAGAGCATGGGTACTGTATTTACTAGGAGGTTTGAAGCGGATCGAATTGGTAGTCAGGTTCCAATAAAACACATGCATTTGGAGGGGCTGTACGAGTTATTTGTATCTAAGTTTGTGAGTTCCTGTACCAAGTTGTTCAATTTAGTATTTATTTGATTTCCTGATGTTGGAATACATCCGTTTTTAATTTGATACTCCGTTCTTGCATTGTGCTTCTATATTTTGCTGTCTTCTTTGAAACTGATGCAGATGTATTTAATGCTCTGATGCAAGTGGTCTACCTGTTAGTCAAAGCTCTGATATGAAATAAATAAATGGATTAATGAATGAATAAATAATTATTTAGTAACCATGAATGGACACTTCTAGGTGGTAATGCAACAGTTCTAAATTGATGTTTTTTACATTACCATTTGATTGAAAGAATTGACAATTCGTTGTGAGCTTTCAAAGAAAGTTAGTTGTGTGATGTATTTTTTTTTCCTCTTCTATAGTCTGTCTTACTTTACTTCAATATGTTGCTTGTACTCTTTGCATACATAATAACCTCTTGACAGTAATTTATGTTAGAAAGCAGTTCTATGCAAAATTTTGATTTCTTGTCTTCGCTGTCCTTTAAACTTTTTCATCTAGTAATTAATTTCCATTTGATTTTGAAGGCCTACTCCACATTGGATCTATCTGTTCATAACTTCAAAGTCCAGTTTGCAATGAAGCTAACATACAGAACGCTTCCCTATGATGATGACTACATGAAAGGCTTTGATATTGAAAATACCAAATCTGGAGAAAATCTTAATGATGAAACGTCCAATGGGACACAGTGGGATGATGATTGTTCTTGGAGTGAATGGTATTCTGCCGAAGATCCTGTTAAAGGTAAATACTTGGATGTAGGAACGTGTAGATCAAAATAGCTTTAGGTTCTTGCGTGGATGCTTTTATTATATGGAACAAGTTTTAAGACTGGGACACATCTTTATAATCTGTGCTTATGTTTTTTGTATTCATACAGGCATGTAGGAGCCCAGTTGAGATGGGCTATGATTTACAAATAATGGAAAATAGGGGTCATTTGAATAGATCAAAGAATTTCAGATACATAAAGTGCTTTTAGCTCTTTTCAAGAGAATAGCCATCTTCACATGTACTTTTGCATTCGTAATGTGATTGTTATACTATTTTCATCATTTGCATTTGTATTTATGATAAGAGTATGAACTTTTAATGTAATTAAGCACCTGTTAAAATGCAAATTACCTCCCGAAATTGAGAACTTTGGTTAACCATGAAACTGTTAATTTAACGGTTTGTTGGCCTTGCATCACTCACATGATCTTTTCCTTTCTTTCCTTTTCCTCTATTTCATCCTTGAAAAGCAGAGACACACACCTAAGCTGATATAACCATAGCATATGTTTCATTGTATTACACATAAACAAAATAAAGCCATGCTAACAGTTTCTATCATGAAACAGGGATGAAACAAAATAAAGCTTTGTGCTACACAGTCTCTTTACTAATATAATTAAGGCTATAGGTATAGTGAAGAGTACACTTACATACTCGCAAAAAGGGTTTCTCTCTATGATGATCCTTCTTTCTACAATGACATACAAATTTAACATAAATTTAGAGGTTAAAACCCAGGATAATAAGGAGATATATGTTGTGTCTTTTTTTATTTGTTTATGTGTAGAATATGTAGAATATTCCAGATAGTATTTATTGATGTAATTGGTAGTTGTATATTTAGTGATGTAGCTGGTGGTTGTATATTTATTAAAGTAGTTGAGGTAGTTGGATGTACTTAATATAAAAAGGACCCATTGGGTCTCTCAATGAATCAAGAAAGTATTATTCAGATAAAGCACTTCTTCCACTTCTTCTTTTCTTTACATGGTATCAAGAGCTGGTTATATTCCAGTCTCTTCCCCGTTCTGATTTATTTTTAAGTCATTTTCCTATTCCTTTTTTTCGTTTTAGCCACTGCCCAAGCCAGAATCCTTACCTAGACACCTCCAACCACGAAACCAAGGCCACCATTAGGTTCAGAACAAGATTCTGAGCCAGCCCACAGAAGACCCGTAGCAGTACTGTTCATTACTGTAGCAATTACTGTTTCACTGTAGCAAAGATTGCTCTCATTCATTGATTTTTGCGAGCAACCCTCTTCCTGTTTTGAGGGTCAAAATCGTATTTGGAGGAACTTTTTTCTGGGTACCTGTTGTTAGAAAACCATGGACGTTGAAAATTTTGAAAATTCGTCTTTTCAGAAATTGATGTCTCAACCTGCTGAGGCAACTAGTCATGTTGCTCAAAAAGGTATGGCATTCCATGTTGAACGTAGTAATCGTTGGATCCTTGATTCAGGGGCCTCTGATAACATGACAGGTAATGCAACCTTATTTTTCTCCTATACCCCTTACTATCACCCGTCACGAATAAGAACAGCTGATGGGAATTTCTCCACTATTGTGGGAAAGGGATCCATTAAACTTTCTAAGCATATTATTTTGAACTCAGTACTTCATGTTCCCTCTCTTACTTGTAATCTAATCTCTATTAGCAACTTACTGCTGAGTTGCATTGTGTTGCTAAGTTCTCTGCAAATGCTTGTATCTTTCAAGAACAGGACTCGGGGATGATGATTGGCAGTGCTAGAGAGGAAGAAGGGCTATACTATTTTACAGATGTTCATTGTGAAAAGAGGATTTTTTCGAACCACTCTCTATGTTTATCAGATGACTGTAATGATGTTTTGTTATGGCATCGTAGGTTGGGACACCCAAATTTTGTTTATCTCCAGAAGTTATTGCCGAACTTATTTATCAATAAAAAGCCAAGTTCCCTTCTTTGTGATATTTGTCAGCTTGCAAAGCACTCTCGTGTCACTTATTCTCCTAAGAAATATCATGAATCTTCTCCCTTTACATTGATTCATAGTGATATTTGGGGACCTGCTCGTGAAAAAAATGTCTCGGGTGCTTGTTGGTTTATTACTTTCATTGATGATCATTCTAGGGTATGTTGGGTATATCTCTTAAAAGATAAGTCTGAGGCAGCATCCACTTTTAAAAACTTTCATGCTATGATTCAAACTCAATTTCAGACTTCTATCAAAATTCTGCGAACAGACAATGGTACTGAATATTTTAATTCAGTTCTTGGAGATTACCTAAACCAGCATGGAATTATTCATCAAAGTTCTTGTCCTAACACCCCTCAACAAAATGGGGTGGCTGAAAGGAAAAATAGACATCTAATTGAAGTTGCTCGAGCTCTTTTATTCACGATGCATGTCCCTAAATATCTGTGGGGGGAAGCCGTCTTGACAACCTGTTATCTCATTAATCGGATGCCTTCTCGGGTACTAAATTTTCATTCTCCTTTATCCTGTCTTACTAAATCTTTTCCCTCTTTCAGTGCTCTTTCTTCTCTTCCTCCCAAAATATTTGGCTGTGTGGTTTTTGTGCATATTCCTCCATATCAAAGGTCCAAACTTGACCCTAAATCCATCAGATGTGTCTTCATAGGATATTCCCCTAATCAAAAAGATTATAAGTGTTACTCACCTTTTCTCCGTAAGGTTTTTGTTTCCATGGATGTTCCTTTTATGAGACACAATCCTTTTTTTCCCCGACTTCTCTTCAGGGGGAGTCTATTGGTATTGGTATGGATGAAGATAAGCCTGGGAAACCAAATGATGCTGCTATCTTACCTTGGCCCAAAAATATCTTAGACAACACGAAAAGTTGTCTCCAGGTTTTCGTGCTTTCAACACTATGTTAGATAGTACCAAGATACCCAAAAATATCTTATGAGTAACACTCATTTCCATTCTGCGGCATTCTCCCTGACCTCGAGGTCAAATGAATGGAATGAAAATGATGGAATTCTCTTTAAGAGCTGCGGAACTAACAATTGGTATTGGTATGGGTGAAGATAAGCCTGGGAAACCAAATGATGCTGCTGTCTTACCTTGGCCTTTGGAAACAGGTGGAGTTATTGGGAAGGAAACAGGGGGGGCAACTATACCTGAATCTAATGATCCTCCTTGTGATCCTCCTGGTAAATGGGAAATTTTTTACAGCAGGCGCAAAACACATGAAGATACTCTAGACTGCCAGGATCCTGACTCGAGTCCTTGTTCCAGCAACCCACTTGAATGTACTAGTACAGCCAACGTTGATATGCCTATTGCTCTTCGGAAAGGTACTAGATCTTGCACTGCTCATCCTATTTCCCATTATATCTCATATGAAAAGTTGTCTCCAGGTTTTCGTGCTTTCAACACTATGTTAGATAGTACCAGGATACCCAAAAATATCCAAGAAGCACTTGATGACCCAAAATGGAGGAATGCAGTATTAGAAGAAATGGATGCACTTACAAAAAATGGAACATGAGTTTGTGACATTACCTAAAGGAAAGAAAACTGTTGGTTGCAAGTGGGTGTTCACAATAAAATTCAATGCAGACAATAGCATCAATAGGTATAAGGCCAGATTAGTTGCTAAGGGATTTACTCAGACTCATGGGATAGATTATCAGGAGACATTTGCTCCTGTTGCCAAACTTAACACTATCCGCGTTCTGCTATCTCTTGCCGCCAACCTTGATTGGCCATTGCAAGAGTTAGATGTTAAGAATGCCTTCTTGAATGGTGATCTCCATGAGGAAGTTTACATGGATCCACCTCCTGGTTTTGAAAAAGGGGATGGTTCTGTGTGCAAGTTGCAGAAGTCTCTCTATGGACTTAAACAATCTCCCAGAGAATGGTTTGGGAAATTTACTCAAGCTGTTAAGGGAAGAGGGTTCACCCAAGATCAGACTGATCACACTTTATTTTTTAAACACTCCAACAAAGGAAGAATTGCTATTTGATCGTTTATGTTGATGACATAATTGTCACTGGTAATGATAGCGAGGAGATAACTTCTTTAAAAAAATATTTATCTGACCAGTTTGAACTAAAAGATCTTGGATCTCACAAATATTTCCTTGGCATGGAAATTGCTCGAAGTAAGGAAGAAATTTCTTTAACTCAGAAAAAATACATTCTAGACCTGTTGCAAGAAACAGGTATGCTTGGGTGCAAGCCGGCAGAGACTCCAATTGAAGCTAATATCAAGATGGGAGTTGAGGACGGGGAAGATGTTGTTAGGGAGCAGTACTAGAGACTAGTGGGAAAATTAATCTATTTGTCTCACACTCGTCCTGATATTGCTTTTGCTGTAAGCATGGTTAGCCAATTCATGCATTCTCCTAAGGAAAAACACTTTAGTGCTGTTTATAGAATTCTCAAATACCTCAAAAATACCCTTGGTCGAGGAATTTTCTTTAAAAAGGGGCACAAAAGGATGATTGAAATCTATACAGATGCAGACTGGGCTGGCTCTGCAATGGACCGAAGATCTACTTCAGGATATTGTACTTATGTCTGGGGAAACCTTGTGACCTGGAGAAGTAAGAAACAAACTGTTGTTGCAAGAAGCAGTGCAGAAGCGGAATTTCGGGCTCTAGCCCATGGTATTTGTGAAGGAATTTGGTTACGAAGGCTTCTGGAGGAGTTGAAGATCTCTTATTCCCTACCTATCAGATTATATTGTGATAATAAGGCTGCTGTCAGCATTGCTCAAAATCCTGTTCATCATGACAGAACAAAACATGTGGAAGTTGATCGTCACTTTATCAAAGAGAAATTAGAAGGCGGTATGCTTGACATATATACCTACCAAGGAACAGACGGCGGATATCCTCACCAAAGGATTACTTAAGCCGACCTTTGAGAATTTGATCAGCAAGTTGGGAATGATCAATATATATCTCCCAACTTGAGGGGGAGTGTAGAATATGTAGAATATTCTAGATAGTATTTATTGATGTAATTGGTAGTTGTATATTTAGTTGGTAGTTGTATATTTATTGATGTAGTTGGTGGTTGTATATTTATTGATGTAGTTGGCGGTTGTATATTTATTAAAGTAGTTGAGGTAGTTGGATGTCCTTAATATAAAAAG